AATTATTTAGATTCGCATATATGGTGTACAGTATACAGTATGTAGTATACAGTGTATATAGTATATAATATATTGTATAAGTCCAAAGCTAGGTTGGAAAATTTATTTTTCTTAGGTGGATTTTACAGCATCAACGTTAAGTAAGAAATTGAAAGTGCTACTTTGGTCGGTTCAGTCAATAGTGTTGACTTTTTTGTTTAGTTTGATAATGCTGCATATCTGCTGACTTGTATCTGACAAGATAAGCTGCAATAACAGTACACGAATGTTTTTTAAAGAAAGACTAGCTTTTTGTGCAAAAGTAATAAAGAATTATGCTATTTTGGTTTTATGTTCGTTCACTTTTAGAAATCTCACTGAGAATTAAAAAAGAAAAGGGGCTTCTTAGAAGAAAAAAAAGTTGATAAGACCCCGTTCGTCTGCCAGAGGGAAGAAAAAAATTAAATAGTTATAGTGAAAAACTAAGACCAAACGGTTGGTCTTACTGTCACTCTTTCACCTAGGAATTTAGCGAAATAACTTTCTCGGTTAAAAAGAAAAGTGATGATATTCACTTTTACTCTGGACATTAAAAACAATAGTATTATGCATTTTTGAAAAAAAATTTCAACAGATAAAGAGGAATTAATGCTAATTTTATTTAGTGTCGATAAGGATCTACAGGAATTAAAAAGTGCTTTGGCCAAGAAGGAAAAAAAAAAGGGTAATGATTGTTTTTTGACCCAATACTAATACTAATTCAGAAATTGAAATTGAAGTGAAAGGTTGAAAATTATCAGTTTCACCTACGCTTCTCTTTTCACTAGCTCACCTGATGACCTGCTAAAAAACTGTACAAGTACGATACTGAAACTTAATATTTAATACCTTTACTTTTATCTCCTGTTGTCCTGTTCTGGTTCTTAATTGTTACGGAGTATAAGTCACGTAATAGATACAAGGTTAAGTTAATAGAAACTTTCTGATTTTCCTTGAAGGCTTTGATTTCTCATATTCACAGCATTGAGATTAGTGTGTTTAAAGTTTATACTTTCAGCTCAAGCCAGTCCCGCAGATCCTGACGTTTCAACAGAAAAGAATAAAGTTGACGACCAGTAAGCTTTTATTATCTATTTATTTATTCTTCGTTCGTTTAGTCATCTTATTAATCATTGTTGTTACTGTTACTGTTGTCGCTGTTAACAGTATTGATGAAAAAAGGTGCTGAATCACCACATAAAATGGCAAAGTCGAAAGTGTTCTGCGCATTTCTAACCCCTTGTTGCTGTTCATGTTAATGTTGCCTTCAAACACCAAAAAAAATTACCTGTTGACCGAAAAGTTTTTTTCAGGGTAGATAGTTCAGTCAACCGCAATGCAAATGCAGTTAATGCAGATGCTGATAAGAGTCAGATTGGTAAGTAATAAAACCGCAGATCGATGCATCTCTACTCTGCTTAAGATACGTTTGAAAAGTTGAGTTTCAGCAAAAAAAGGAGAGTTCAGTCCTTCGTATGAGAATGACAATATAAACAACGGAAAAGAACCTAAAATACCCAGTTTTCTAACTGAAGCTTTGCCACCACCCTTGGTTATAGGTTCACAAGGGACTGTCTACAGTGATAAGAAAGCAGAAAATACGAAGTCTCTGGAAGCTCTTTTGAAACAGCCTAATCTCACCAGCGTAAGCGTGCAAAGTACCGTTGAAAGAGAGAACGATGATGATCGTCAGCTAGAAGAGTCTGATAAAATTATGGAAGAAAAAAGACAGAAACTCCTTAATGAAATAGCTTCTGACGTGATTGTGGAAACTTTGCCACCTTTAAACGTCGTAGGTAATACCAAGCATACCTCACCAAACACACATGAAAATTTGTTGAAGAAAGGGGAGAAAATTGAGAATCCGGGGTGAAATCACATTTTTGTTACTTGCCTGTTATTTGTTCCGTTTTCACAAGTCGTTAAAGTTTAGTAATTGTCTCTAACAACCTCTTTGTCTTGCTTGTCTGATAAACCTTGGGTTCAAAATTGTCAGTTGGGATCAGATCTGAGTAGGAAGTGATATCCGTTGTAGCCATATGTACAGTAACAAGGTTTTCGGCACTGTTCTTCGCTTCTTGCATATCAGGAATTTCCTGTTCAGCTGTAAAATGATGGCAAGCGGTTGAGGTTCAGCAGACTGATGAGGAAGGTATGAGTCGACATTTTCATCTCTCAGTGAATAAGAACTGTTCAGTTTGGACTCTAATAATTGACGCTTGTTTTAGAATTTCATTCTTGTATGTATTTTCCTTGCGTATTAATAACGCAGACACTGATAACATTTATTTTCAATGTTATTAGAAAATACCATAAAGTTCTCGGTCACATTCAGCAAGTTTTCCAAGCTAACTTTAAAAATATATCAATATTTCACCTTTTAAGCGAATGAAAACCTTTTATTTGTCAGTGAGTTATAAATTCTCTTTTAGTAATATACCATGCGTACACCACTGAATAGATCTTTTCCATAAAAAGTAAAAGCGTAGATCAAAAATCTTTGAGTTTATTCGTTCAACCAATACGTTGCAGTCACCTTTCTAGAAGTTTGTCTCTAGTATTTTGTTTGTATCGTGATCAGAAACAGCAGTTTTCCTCTAGAATAGCGCATATTCTAAACCCTTAAAAAGTGCAGTTCAAAGAAAGTAGTCGAAAGAGTATTGCTAAGTAACCAGTGGCTAAATCGTCAAAAGAATTCCACTTCAAACAGCTCAATACACTAAAAAATGCAACGTAAAAGCGACAAAAAATTCTGCAGCTTTCTCTTTTAATAAT